TTTATTATATTACGTACGAAGAGATAGAGAGAATTTATATGAATTATTTCTTATTTATTACGTTTCGCAGCATTGAAATATTATTGAAAAGTTGGGAGAGCGCTTATTTTTAAAAATCGAGTCAATCAGCTTGTTTCCTGGTCGGGTTAATTGCATTCCCGTGTTTTCTCATGATAATCGACAATTTCTCAGAAAGTCGAGTACCGTTTCACGGATTTCAGCGTTTCGAGTGCACGCCTATAATAAGTAGAACACTCTATTTACATACTGTATGTACCTACGTGTGCGATGTGCTGTAACTTTTAATCAGTATCCAGCTTTTACATAAACGTTAATTCTTACTAACTGAAAATTTATGACAATTACATTTTTTCTTCCCTGAAAACTAGAAACGAAGATTTATGTGATAATGCAGTGGATAAAAGTTTAAACACGTGAACGTTCGTTCAGTTATTCGTTCATGATCATTCATTTTTAATTCCTCGTTAATCTTGTAGTCGCTGCAAGCATTTATTTATTTATTTATTGAGAATCTCTACGAATTTCGTGCTCGACTTTATTTTAAAATAAACAGCTCGCAGTTGTAACAATTCATGAATATTTCAATTCTGTAGCATGTTTTCGCATTGCGTTCTGAATTTTGAACACCGATTTCGAACACTGTTTTCTATTATTTTTACACACGTAATTGTGATACTTGGAAATTTTTTTATATCACAATTTATGTACATGGAATATTTCCATATTGGCCTGCTAGTTACTTCTGATTTCCTAAAGGCTCGAGTACTCTCGGAGTCCACAGATTAAACACACTTTGAATCTCTGTTCACGTCTTTATAAAGGCTGGATTTAAAGCGCGAACTTGTTCGGGTGCCAGTTAATCCCGTCGCTAGTTAGGCGAGTGCATCGAACCGGATTGATAAGGGCAGGGCGCGGGGCGAGAAATTAAGGGTTGAATTGATCGACTCTGAGAATTTTCTGGTTCTTAAAGCCGAGCTTCGGGAAGCCCGCAAAACACACACGTCACACCTTTCATTAAAACCTATCAAGCTAGAAATAGTTCACAATCAAATCCGAGACTGATTAATCGAGTCAATTAAGTATTGGAAAAATGGGCATACCTTTTACGCAATTTACTGTACCCAGAACTGATAAAAATAATAGACATTTGAATGATACTGTTAAATGTATTAAGTGCCCAATTTTTGTACAAATCCATAAAACTTGCAGTCTACTTACAATTATTAATTCGTTCCATTTAAAAAATAGATGATTTTGTACATTCGAATGGTACGTCGGTCTATTTGTAACTTGGTTGAAATAGAATATTCTTAGAAGATATTCGTAATCTAATACTACGTATGACGAAGTGTCAGGTTGGCAAAAATTTAGACACGTGCAAAATTCAGTCCATATAAAATTCAGTGGACGAGTATCAGGTTTGAAACGATACTAGGTTGCACAGCACGTTTCCTTATTCCATCTGAAACTCGACGCCGGTGACTGTTGAATTCATTCACTTGAATAAATCCATTAAAATATAAAAAGGAATTTCTTGGTAACAAATATAATACTACGCCTTATGCATAATATACGACAAGTCGTCAGGCTGGTAAAAGTTTGGATAGAAAATTCGTTAAACGAGTATGAAATCGCGTTTGGTTGCGGGTACAGACTGTTTCTTTATTTCACCTCGAACTCGACGTCGGTGGTATGTGGGGACGCTTATCGGCACCGTTTCGTTTCGTGCCACGCAGAACTATCGATTCTCGCTACCACTGCTGCCTGCCTACTAGTCACCCCCTCCCCCTACGCCCCTCGTACTTGTAAACCGCCCCCGTACAACGTGAGCCTCGGTCTCCTCTTTTGCGTACGCGGCCCTTTCACCCCCGTGACACACCGGGGATCTGGTCAACAACCCCCTCGAACGGTGTCGAGCCATCCAACTTCGACCCCGCTGTAGACTCGCGAGACAAGTCGATTAGGGGGTAGAAAGCCATGTATGGAAATCTTGCGGCTACGTAATCTACCCTCGCTTCCGTATTCTCAACCTTTTACAACTGGAATTTGTCTGAAGATGTTTTATAACGTCAGATTACAGTATTTAATGTCCGTAAATTTTCCCGAGTCGTTCGATAGCATGGAATTATGAGGAAAATTGTTAACGAATGTAGAACAGAAGTGAAATCGTTTTCCAATATCCCTTACACTCAATCAAATATTTTTACAATTCTTTTATCATGCAGTGAAAAGTAAGATTGACAGATGTTAATCGTGGGTGGAAAAGACCATGAAAAAGGTCTGTGACTTATTCTCCTCGTCGGAATTCTATTCCAGATCTTAATACCAGTTTCATAAATATGTATACCGGGTATTCCCTTTGATTTAATTCCCCGAAAGTTTAATTTACTTGCATAAAGGAGTAACCTTTATGAATTGGCCAGTGGAACCTGTTAAACTTGCCATTTGCATTAAGGAACGCAACGCGAAAGCAATGTCTCGGTGCGGGTCCAAAGCAAACTTAATTAACCTTGTGGAAACATTACAAAACTGCAAGATTTTATTATAACATCACCCAGACAATTAATCCCTTTTGAACGATATAATTACCAGAACGTCTCTTCTCAAGTTTGATTAACTTCATTCAAATTGTTTGCAAGCTGGGTCACAATAATTTTATCCTTCGATAAAACATAAATAATTCAAGTCGCACTGATATAACGCGATGAATGAATAATAAATAATATTTAATAATCGATTAGAATTACAGCAATCCCATTTGTTGGAAATTTTCATTGGCATTCATATATTCTTGATCTTCTTGCCAAACTGAAACGATCCATCGAAAAGTTCCCAGTCCTCGAATATGTCCATATGTATTTTCTAATTATACACACGGTTCCGTGACTTGGACACCGTGACGTGTGCATATTTAACAAATCGCGCGGCTCGACTAAAAACTAAACTGGGACGACGACTAAAAATACGTATACACGTACGGACTCTTTTATTCCTCCATTTGTGTCCGAACTGTTCATCTTCGAATCGCGCTCTGTATCCGCCAGGCTAATTTATCAACGGATACCAGTAGTAGATAGTCACTGCCGAAACTATCATCCATCTCATCTCCATTTTCATCCAAATTAAAGTGCACGAAAAGAATTTCAAATACAATGAACCATATTTTTTATATTGCGTCCACAATATTATTTATATTAATAATATTATATTAAAGTATATTTATTTATTTTGTAAGTACTATTCATATTTTAATAGGAAGCAAACGTTAAGACTGAATTTTAAAAGAGAAATACGTATGATGTCCGACATATCGTCGATCTGTTCCACTTATCCTTTATTTGTTTCACTTGTACTCTTCATTATTCTCTTGAAAAAAATATCTAAATTGTCAGAAGTGAAGATTCTAATCTGAAAACGAATCTGGAAATCGATTTTGATTTACTATACGAGGGGATACGCGGAACGTCTGACATATGGTTGACTTGATTCACTTATTCCTTGAAAACTCTCTATTGGCTTCACTTATACTCTTGGCTATTATTCTAGAAGTAGTCTCTGCTATTCGAGAGCTACAAATACCGGGATTTACAGCGTATATACGAGAGATAGAACTGTTTAACGATACGAAGTCGTTGTCAATTGTGTCGAACGACGAGACCTTCTCGATGCGATGGTAAGATTGTTCCTCGAAGCGTTATAAACGCGCATACTTGCATTCGTACGAGCACGTATGTGCACGTGCACGTGTCTAGTATTTGAACCGCCTCCTCTTGAGCGTCTTGAGTGCCTCTCGTGTTTCCGTTCGTACTCACGTAAATACATAAATCCCGCTCTTCAATGATATTCTTGAGCATCGGCTCTAATTCTAAAATCGATGGCAGACAAGTCAAGCTCCAACGGATAAATTAATTAAAATCATTTATCGGCACCGTTTCGTTTCGTGCCACGCAGAACTATCGATTCTCGCTACCACTGCTGCCTGCCTACTAGTCACCCCCTCCCCCTACGCCCCTCGTACTTGTAAACCGCCCCCGTACAACGTGAGCCTCGGTCTCCTCTTTTGCGTACGCGGCCCTTTCACCCCCGTGACACACCGGGGATCTGGTCAACAACCCCCTCGAACGGTGTCGAGCCATCCAACTTCGACCCCGCTGTAGACTCGCGAGACAAGTCGATTAGGGGGTAGAAAGCCATGTATGGAAATCTTGCGGCTACGTAATCTACCCTCGCTTCCGTATTCTCAACCTTTTACAACTGGAATTTGTCTGAAGATGTTTTATAACGTCAGATTACAGTATTTAATGTCCGTAAATTTTCCCGAGTCGTTCGATAGCATGGAATTATGAGGAAAATTGTTAACGAATGTAGAACAGAAGTGAAATCGTTTTCCAATATCCCTTACACTCAATCAAATATTTTTACAATTCTTTTATCATGCAGTGAAAAGTAAGATTGACAGATGTTAATCGTGGGTGGAAAAGACCATGAAAAAGGTCTGTGACTTATTCTCCTCGTCGGAATTCTATTCCAGATCTTAATACCAGTTTCATAAATATGTATACCGGGTATTCCCTTTGATTTAATTCCCCGAAAGTTTAATTTACTTGCATAAAGGAGTAACCTTTATGAATTGGCCAGTGGAACCTGTTAAACTTGCCATTTGCATTAAGGAACGCAACGCGAAAGCAATGTCTCGGTGCGGGTCCAAAGCAAACTTAATTAACCTTGTGGAAACATTACAAAACTGCAAGATTTTATTATAACATCACCCAGACAATTAATCCCTTTTGAACGATATAATTACCAGAACGTCTCTTCTCAAGTTTGATTAACTTCATTCAAATTGTTTGCAAGCTGGGTCACAATAATTTTATCCTTCGATAAAACATAAATAATTCAAGTCGCACTGATATAACGCGATGAATGAATAATAAATAATATTTAATAATCGATTAGAATTACAGCAATCCCATTTGTTGGAAATTTTCATTGGCATTCATATATTCTTGATCTTCTTGCCAAACTGAAACGATCCATCGAAAAGTTCCCAGTCCTCGAATATGTCCATATGTATTTTCTAATTATACACACGGTTCCGTGACTTGGACACCGTGACGTGTGCATATTTAACAAATCGCGCGGCTCGACTAAAAACTAAACTGGGACGACGACTAAAAATACGTATACACGTACGGACTCTTTTATTCCTCCATTTGTGTCCGAACTGTTCATCTTCGAATCGCGCTCTGTATCCGCCAGGCTAATTTATCAACGGATACCAGTAGTAGATAGTCACTGCCGAAACTATCATCCATCTCATCTCCATTTTCATCCAAATTAAAGTGCACGAAAAGAATTTCAAATACAATGAACCATATTTTTTATATTGCGTCCACAATATTATTTATATTAATAATATTATATTAAAGTATATTTATTTATTTTGTAAGTACTATTCATATTTTAATAGGAAGCAAACGTTAAGACTGAATTTTAAAAGAGAAATACGTATGATGTCCGACATATCGTCGATCTGTTCCACTTATCCTTTATTTGTTTCACTTGTACTCTTCATTATTCTCTTGAAAAAAATATCTAAATTGTCAGAAGTGAAGATTCTAATCTGAAAACGAATCTGGAAATCGATTTTGATTTACTATACGAGGGGATACGCGGAACGTCTGACATATGGTTGACTTGATTCACTTATTCCTTGAAAACTCTCTATTGGCTTCACTTATACTCTTGGCTATTATTCTAGAAGTAGTCTCTGCTATTCGAGAGCTACAAATACCGGGATTTACAGCGTATATACGAGAGATAGAACTGTTTAACGATACGAAGTCGTTGTCAATTGTGTCGAACGACGAGACCTTCTCGATGCGATGGTAAGATTGTTCCTCGAAGCGTTATAAACGCGCATACTTGCATTCGTACGAGCACGTATGTGCACGTGCACGTGTCTAGTATTTGAACCGCCTCCTCTTGAGCGTCTTGAGTGCCTCTCGTGTTTCCGTTCGTACTCACGTAAATACATAAATCCCGCTCTTCAATGATATTCTTGAGCATCGGCTCTAATTCTAAAATCGATGGCAGACAAGTCAAGCTCCAACGGATAAATTAATTAAAATCAAATTCTTCTTTACTCGAACTTGGCAATATTAAATATTACTCGAGCAGATGACGCCTCAGATTTGTAATTAAAAATAACTCCGCAGTATTTAATATCGTAATTATCGAGGACGCTGAGCTAATATTAAGAAACGAGAGTCGCATCTGGGACATTAAACTCGTGAGATCGTGGCTCTAATATGTCGGATTAGGCATTGAATCGTGACGGTACCAATTTCGATGACTCTCTCGGCAACAAGTGACGTTGAAATCGGCTTACGCGAAGAATTAGGACCGTCGAACACTCTCCCAGATTTTCAGCCGATCAAAATGAAGCCTCCGTTCCAGATGAAGTCTTCGGGATTGATACGTTCTCACGGTCTGATCGGCTGTCTTAAAATTCTTATAATTAGAATGGGAAACGAAATTGCAGGTAGGAAAGTCATCTGTAAATTGTTAACCGAAATAGCATTTTGCTTTTAAACCACTTGAGTTACTCGAGGCAAGAAGTCAGCCACTGATCAGACGTACTGATACCACGAAAATAGATAAGATTTAATACCGCGTTCAAACTATTTCCGAAAATTGATTTCCTTTTTTCATTCTCTAACATCTTAATTGTATAAAATGTATAATTCGTTGATTTCAGGTCGCGTGGGACTGTCAGAGGCGATAGCAGTGATACCAAGATGAGCATACTAAACACGGATTCGGAGAACCGTGTGGTACTAAACGTGGGCGGTATCAGACATGAGACGTACAAGGCGACCCTGAAAAAGATCCCGGCCACCCGGCTGTCGAAATTGACCGAGGCTTTGGGCAATTACGACCCGATCCTGAACGAGTACTTCTTCGACCGGCACCCGGGTGTTTTCGCCCAGGTGCTCAATTACTATCGTACCGGGAAGCTTCATTACCCGACGGACGTATGCGGCCCGCTGTTCGAGGAGGAACTCGATTTCTGGGGGCTGGACTCCAATCAGGTAGAGCCATGCTGTTGGATGACATACACTCAGGTACGTGGCTGATTAAAATTTACTCGTTCAGGTGAATAATTGATTTACTTTCGGATTATTCAGATTATATATTATATATTTAACTGATTGTATTTCGGCTGAAAATAAACAAAGGCAAGTACGCACCGCCATCAGTGACCGAAATACGATAAGTTAATAATAATGATACAATCAATTGAATTCAGAACTGCATCGCTTTCTGATTATTCAGAAAATTAATACATCGTGTCATCATGTGTGGTATTAACTATATTCTTAATTATTTCAAGAATTATATTATTATTATCAATATTAATAATTATATTAATAAAATATTATTTATATCAAATACATTATTAATTGTATTATCGAATATATTGATAATTGTAAGATCAGATATGTTATCGATTATTATGCATGTACTAAATATTTTCTTACTTAATAATTATTGATACAAATAAATGATTTAACTCCCCAAATGAATTTTTATCCAATTTCCATACTGAATTTTGATCGCATTAGTGAAGATCCGGTAACGATACAGTAACGTTGAAAATCGCGATCACTGCATACCGTTCCGCGAGTTTCTCAGTACAAGCACATTATCCAGATCGTCCGATCTCCTTCTCAATTAGCCACGACTGTACCTTGAATTATCTTAGGAATCGCTTTCGACATTACTTGCATTTTTGGATGAATAGTTACCCGACGGAAAAGTACTAAGTAGTAGCTCTAAAATCACTGTCTATATTTCCGGCTAAACGAATTAATTAATAATAGCAGGCAAATGTATTCTCAGTCATTTCTTACATAAAACTATGTAATTGATA